AGGAGTTGAGCTTTTAATGAGTATGAATGCTTTCAAAGTAGGATTTCATGTATTCTAAAGTTAGAGGCTAAAAGTGTTTTGTTTTCAGTGACTAAAGAGCTAGTTACTTTGGAATTAAAATGTAACTGGAAATACAGGGTAGTCAAGTCTATCTTTGCCTTTCAATACTTGGTACCTAATCAGCCAGGTTAGAGTGACCTTCAGATTATCAGTCAGAAATATCTGGACCCTCCTTCACATCTAAATTCAACTCATACAAGTTTCTACATTCAAACATGTTTTTTTTTTTAAAAAAAAAATCAGTGTAAGCTGATAATAATAACATACAGAAGGACTCATAACCCAGAAGTCTAGAAATTAGCAATGTCTTTCAATATTCTTCCATGAGTGCTGAAGTTACAACTTAAAATTACAGGCATACCATCATTGTAAGCAATACATAATCACACCTGTGAATACAGCAAATTGATATACAAGAATGAATACACAGTGATGCTTTGCTGTATCACAGGATATGCCATTGCAGATCTGCTAACAGCTAGCTCATCTATGACAGAACAACTTCTTCATACAACCACAAATAGCTAGTGACAGCTTTCTTTTTTAATTTAACAAACGGTGTTGAAAACGGTACTTCCATCAGCATCCCTTGGAGTTGTTATCTTTTCTTCCAAAGATAACAAAGCGCTGCCATGTGGCTTATTCCCCCCCACACACACTGTTTTGGAAGCTTTGTACTGGAATGCCTCTTCACTACAATACTATTTCTCTTTAGGAATGGGGACACTGAGGGGCTAAAAGACTCATCAGCAATCATGAAACAGATTTAGAGCAAAGCCAGAATTTGCTTACTTCTGATCTCTCCAATTAGGCCATGTAGATTTCTTTAATTTTATCCCCAGAGGTATCATACCTTATATGCAAAAGAAGAAGTACGGGAGTCATTAACAGATTTCTACTCATGTTGCCTTACAGGGAAGCATTTAGGATAGACGCTAAAGTCCTGTGGAGGACTAAGATTTTAGTTTTCTAAGATTGTAAACCAAATTTCATGATGAAATAAAACAGGCTGTAAAAGGACATTGTATTTTTTATTATTTCAAAATGCATCCTTTTCTTCCACCCAAGTGGTACATTTTGCCTGAACTTCAAAAGTCATGGGACTCAAGGAAATCTTCATCATTAAAAAAAAAAAAAGGACATCATCATTTCATAGTCTATCAAACTCTGAGTCTAACAGAAGTTTTCTTAAATGTGAAAATCTTAAACACCTCATTCTCAAGTAAGACTTTGCACACCTCCAACAGATTGCACTTTCCTCATAAAGTGGTCCTGGGGTTTCTTCAGCCTGCCTTCTCTTTCACTGCCCTTTTTTTTTTCCCCATTTTTGGATAATATCACACGATGGTCTCACTGCAAAGGTTTCTTAATATGATATTGTTCCAGAAATGGAACACCAGGAAAATCACAGAAACAGATCAAGTACTACTGATTTAGACAACTGAGATTTACTTCTAGCAATGCTTTTCAGAACCTGAAAATGACTCCTTCACTTTGTATTATTCCAACAATTTGGTGATGAAAACGTAAACTATTTCTAAACCCCAGAAAAACTTTATGGCCAAGATATAGGCCGCCCAGTTCCTGATATATGCAGGGAATGAACAGTAAATGTCACAGCGTAAGTGCTAAAGGTTGACTTCTCTTAGCCTAGCCAGTTCCTTAATTTCTACCAAAATAGTATTAGTTTCTTTTTGCTGGCTCAAGAGTGTTTAGATTAATATATCATTGTTATTTTAAATATAATAGGTATCATGGGGGCAATCAGGTTTTCTGTATCTCTATCTGTAACTCAGATTTCAGGATTTTGGGACTATAATTCACCATCTGGTACTGATATGGTTAGATAATAACCTAGTAGTGTAAGGGTATGATGTTTATGAATGATGAGAAGATCTTGCTGAAGTAGTGTTTTTTCATCAGTGAAAATAGTCCTTGGTTTTTTAGTGGGTTTTCCCCCACATTGTTCTTCCTAAATGTACTTCCCATAATCTGCTGCAATTTGAAATCTTTGAGGGAAGTACCAGATGTAGGACAAATGATCAAGCTGGGGCTCTGGAAACCATAATCAAGGATTTCCTCAGCTTCACCTAGGGTTTGTGGATGCAGGTATGAAGTCAGGGTAGCTGCATTAAGACCCTAGCCTTAGCGCTAGGGTCTTCAGGGACCTCTCCAGTTCTAGTGAGTCAGGTCCCATTGTACTTACTAACAACTATCTATACACCCAGCAAGGTACTTGTGTGTCCGTCCCACATTCTGTCATTTTGATTAGTTATTGAAGGTTTTTAGTTTGTTGTGGACCAACTATGAACTGGATGTTCTTTTGTAATTTGGATATAGCAGTACCACTTTTAGTCCTCTGTACATGATTTCAAACTTATTGTAACAATCAGAATTCTTATCAATTCTTCCTAACAGATCAGTGTAATAAATTCTCTACATTTTTTTTAAACCAGGGTTTTGTTTTGTTTTTTGGTTGGTTGGTTGGTTTTGGTTTTGTTAGTTAAGAGATAAGGTCTCAGTGTGTTGCCCAGCCTGGCCTCAAAAAGTCCTGAGTTTAAGTGATCCTCCTCTCTCAGCCTCCTGAGTTCTATATTTTTAAAGAACAAGATACAAAAGAAGGTAGGATCTTTAAACTTCTGGAAAACACTATGTTCAAAGAGAACTATTAGTTTACACACACACACACACACACACATGCACACAAATCCTTAAGTATCTATGTGAAACATTTAAATTTTATAATCCTAAAATGTCTTTTAACCTCTCTGTACCAGAATGGAGCTTACTTCTTGATCTTTCTTAAATTAGCTTTATCTTTACTTTCATTTCATAATAAATCCTATAGATAAATATTCTTTAAGGAGACATGGTCTTACAGATTACTTTTTTTCCCCTTTAAATGTGTGCTTTAAGAGTATCATGGCAAATAATCAAGAAGTTTAATAACATAATGTAATGGAACAAACAGGCATATGATATTTACTTTTCCAAAAACCTCCCAGTCAACACCACCCATTAAAAATCACTTTTAACAATCTGGTAAATCAATTCAAAATTAAATTAACTTTTTAATAATTTCATATAGGATTTAACCAGTTCATCTAATTTATTGATGAAAAATTATCTCTAACAATAAGTAAAACTGCAGATTTGGAAATGAAACATTCCATTAGCTATCTCTGCCACAATAGCAGCATAATGTTACACTTTGTCTCTTTACTCTCCTACCCCCTTAAGAAACAGGGATGTTATTATGTGGTCTTATTTCACATCCTGACCTCTGTCAGTTGGGTTTGAAGGGCATACTGAGTTAAAAACAAAAAACTATCTCTATAAATACATCTAAAGACTTTACAAATTCTGTACAAATTTAATTCTCAAAACATGTTTTGGGATAAAAAGTCTTTTTATTTTTCAAAATTATTTTTCAAAGAACTGATTAGAACAGTTGATGTACTGATTTATGTAAGTCTTGATTTGATTTCTGAAGCTACAATAGAGATGAACTCTTGATTTCCATCAAGCTTTCTTGGGTCCTACCTAAAGGAGGACTGCTTTGGTATGTCAAAGTTCAAGAGCTACCATTGTTTAAAAGGACAGCCTTACCACCTTCTTTTGCTGAAAGTAGCTATGAGATAATAGAATCACAGTACTTTCATAGCTGCTCTCTGCCAGGACAAGGAATAGTGCTGTCTGACCGTCAGGGTCAATTCGTGGCCCAATCCGGAGCCCAGGAGTTGAGAGTAAACAAAAGGCAGACCTGCGACTCTGAGCACTGCAGGTTCTGCGCCCACGAAACCCACAGCTGACTTCGTGCTGAAAGTGAAAACAGCCTCAGGAGTTGAAGTGGACTCTTCCCCCTGGAACCCAGCGGATCCGGGAACTCCCCGTCCGGGAATCCACGTCGCCCGGGCAGCGGCCCCGAAGCCACCGCGGGCGGCAGGCTTTCCAGCCCGAGGGGCCCGCTTGGGGTCGGTCTGGCGGGCTGCCGTCGGGCGACGGCCGGTGCCTCTGGCACTCACTTCTCAGGACCCTTCCGCGGAGACTGACGGGGCACACCCGGCCTCCGGCCTCAGCCTCGCCACCCACGGAGTGGGACAGCCGACGACGCGCGGGGCGCTCCTCGAGGTTGGGAATGGTAGCTGCCTCCGGCTCCTCAACTCTCAAGGAACCTGCGGCGCACGTTTTAAATTTAAAAATTTTTTAAATAAAGAAACAGCTCCCCTTTTCTAACCCCTGGCCCCGCCCACTGCCCTCCCCCGCGGCCTTCACGCGCAACTCCGCAGGAAACCGGAGGGGGCGGGGCGGTGACGTCACGACGCCGGTGCGTCACGGAACGGCGGCGGCTGCGGCGCTGGCGGCGGCTGCGGCAGCGGCGGCATTTTAGTCGGCGGCGGCGGCGGCAGCGGGCCTGCGGCTGCTCCTCCCAGCATCCCTGGCGCGGCCATTTCAGCCCCATCTTGGCCGAGGGGAGGGAGCTGCAGCCGCCGCTTCAGCAGTTTGAATTTCAGTTTCTCCGCGTTTCCGAGGCGGGCGCGCTGAGGAGGAGCCGGGAGGCACCGCCGCTCCCTCACGCAGCCCGGGCGCCTCCGCCCGCCGGCCCGCCGTCCGCCGCCGCCGCCGCCGCCCCTCTCTCTCCCGGGAGCCGCGAGGGGAGGCCGCGCCGCCGCCGCCCGCGGGTGGCTCCCCCGTCAGGGGAGGACCGCGCGGCCTCCCTCCCCCGGAGCGGGCTTCCGCCGGAGAAGGCGACATGTCTCTGGGGCCGCGCTCCGGCTGAGCCGGGAGGGCGGGCCGCGGCTCCGCGCCGCCCAGCAGCCCGCGGCTCCGCACTCTCCCGCCGACCCTCCTAAGAGCCGCCGCCGGAGCAGCCGGAGCGGGGCAGCGCCGCCCCTCGCGCCGCCGACGCCCGCGCCTCCCACTCCGCCCCCGCCGGGCCTGCGGCCGCGCCGAGTGCCGAGCGCCGAGCTGGACTGACCGCGGCGGCCCGCGCCCGGAGGAAGCCGCCGGCCCGCCCCTGCCGCCGCGCTCGCCGTCGCTGGGATTGAATTGCGGCGCCGCGGCCGCGGGACTGAAAGGAAGGCGGAGCCGCCGCAGGAGGCGAGGAGGAAGCGAGAGGAGGATGCCTCGCCCGGCGGCCGCAGCAGCCCGTGACTCGTAGGGCGGCGGGCCTCGCACCAGCGCGAAGTGGACTTTGTCTGCGGGCCCTGCGCTGCCCTCCGCGGTTTCCAGTGGGATCCCCGAGGAGCCGCGGTCCTCGCTGCTCGCCAGCCTTCTTCACCATGTCCAAGATGCCGGCCAAGAAGAAGAGCTGCTTCCAAATCACCAGTGTCACCACTGCCCAGGTGGCCACTAGCATCACAGAGGACACCGAGAGCCTGGACGACCCGGACGAGTCACGCACTGAGGACGTTTCCTCCGAGATATTCGACGTTTCCCGAGCCACGGATTACGGCCCTGAGGAGGTCTGCGAGCGCAGCTCCTCTGAAGAGACGCTCAACAATGTTGGGGACACGGAGACTCCCGGGACTGTCTCCCCGAACCTCCTCCTGGACGGGCAGCTGGCGGCCGCGGCGGCTGCGCCCGCCAACGGAGGAGGAGCCGTTTCAGCCCGGAGCGTGGCCGGTGCACTCTCCAGTTCCCTGGCGGCGGCCGCCACCTCGGCCCCCACCTCGGGGGCACCCGGCGGCCCCCCAGTGGCGGGCTCGTCCAGCGGACCAGGGACGGCCCCTCCAGCGCAGCCCCCCACCACTTGTAGTTCTCGTTTCCGTGTGATCAAGCTAGACCACGGCAGCGGGGAACCCTTCCGCCGCGGCCGATGGACGTGCATGGAGTACTACGAGCGGGACTCGGACAGCAGCGTCCTGACCCGCTCAGGGGACTGCATTCGGCATAGCAATACCTTCGACCAGACTGCTGAGCGGGACAGCGGCCTGGGAGCCACCGGAGGGTCGGTGGTGGTGGTGGTGGCCTCCATGCAGGGGGCGCACGGGCCCGACTCGGGAACTGACAGCTCCTCGACTGCTGTGTCACAGCCACCCCCGTCGGAGAAGATGAGCCAGCCCGCTCCGGCCGCGCCGCAGAGTTTCAGCGTTGGGCAGCCGCAGCCGCCGCCGCCCGTAGGTGGGGCTGTGGCTCCAAGCTCGGCTCCGCTGCCGCCGTTCGCTGGAGCCTCTGCCGGGCCGCAGCCCATGATGGCAGCCGCACCGCCGAGCCAGCTCCAGGGGGCCGGGCCGGGCGGCGCCCCTCCGGGGCCCGGGGGACAGGTCCTGCCGCCAACGAATGTAGCCCTGGCGCAGCCGGCTGTGCCCCTGCCTCCGCAGCCTGGCCCGGCCGGCGGCGCTTCTGCCGCGCAGCACCCGCAGCACTTCTCGTACCCCCAGCCTCAGATGCCGCCTGGGCACTTGCTGCCGGCACAGCCCTCCGGCCAGAGTGAGTACCTGCAGCAGCACGTGTCCGGCTTGCAGCCTCCGAGCCCCGCGCAGCCCTCATCTACCAGCGCCGGAGCGACCCCTTCCGCCGCGTCCAGCTTTCCCCTGGGCGCCGGCCAGAACCCCGCCTCGGCGGCCGCGCAGCTAGTGAGTGCGTCTCCTCAGCCCAGTGAAGCTGTGGCTCCGGGGCCGGGACCTACGCAGGGCGGGCAGGCCGCGCTTTGTCAGCCAGCTGGTGTGCCCCCGGCTGCTGTGGGAGGCGTGGTGCAGCAGGGCATGGGTCCTGCGGGGCCCGGGCAGTCCCCGTCGGTGCCTCCGCCGCAGATCGGTGGCAGTGGTCAGCTGTCAGCAGTGCCTGGTGGCCCTCACACCGTGGTGCCCGGAGTTCCAAACGTGCCTGCAGCGTTGCCCGCTCCAAGCGTGCCTAGTGTGTCTACCACTTCTGTTACTATGCCAAATGTACCCGCGCCTCTGGCCCAGTCACAGCAGCTGAGCAGCCATACGCCAGTCAGCAGGAGCAGCAGCCTCCTCCAGCATGTTGGGCTGCCCTTAGCCCAAGGCACTCACAGCGCACCAACAAGTCTACCACAGTCTGACCTAAGCCAGTTTCAGACTCAGACCCAGCCTTTAGTCGGGCAAGTTGACGATACTAGAAGAAAATCAGAACCCCTACCTCAACCACCACTTTCTCTCATTGCTGAAAATAAGCCTGTTGTGAAGCCTCCTGTTGCAGATGCCCTGGCCAACCCCCTCCAGTTAACACCTATGAACAACCTCGCCACCTCTGTGTTCAGCATAGCTATTCCTGTTGATGGTGATGAAGACAGGTATGGAACTCTTATTTTAAATATTGGATAGGAATGCTTGGCCAAACATCATAGCATAGGCTGCAGCTTTGGGAAATTTTCTTTTTTCAATTGAGGCCTCTTTATTTTTAAATATAAAATTTAGTTTAGTAAAATTGATTTAAATTGTTGAAGTAAATGCCTGTAATGAGAGAACTGGGCTTGTCATGGTTTCTTAAAAAGTTTCTTAAATGGGTAGGGATGCAACACTTTATTCAAATATGGATTTCAGTGTAACCTTAATAATTTAGGGGTGGTAGCTAGTATGCTCCCAAAGGATTGTCCTTTTGTTAGATATTAATCACACTTGAGCACTATGGCAGTTTTACCAGTGTGAATTTTGGTGCTGAAACATGAATTAAGTTTTCCATTCTGGGAAAGCAGACTGCCCCTCTAGCAAAAAAAAAAAAAAAACCAGGTAAGGAATGGTCTCCAGTGTATCTGGAAAGGCTGAAGAGAGAGTGAAGTGTCAAATTCAGCTTCAAAGATCATACTTAGTTCAACCTTTAAATAGAAGAGGGTTGTGAGACTTCCCAGTGACTTTTCTAAGATATTATTTTTTTGTTTTATTAAACAAAAAATATATTGGAAAGATGTTCTTATCTTCCATGAGTCCTTTTAATATAGAAAAGGAAAGGCCTGAAAATTCTTTCAACATAGTTAAAGAACATGTAGTTCTTGAAATTAGGAGTAATTTTATAGTGTAAATGTCAATAATTGGCTCCCTCTATGTAAGGGATGCTTTTTTAATGGTCTAAGTGAAAATTGTGTTGCTACATCATTCTACAAGAGTTGATGTTTAGTTATAGTTTAATGAGGGTTTTTAGTGGTTTTGAAGAAACATTGCAGGGAAGTTTGACATGCTACAAATACAGTAGATTTTAAAATACTTGTTACAACATTTTAAATTACATTTAAAAATTACAGAGTGAGTTCAGACATTTTACAGTTACATATTTATTTACAGAGTTTTTTGAGCCAGATTAATTTTAAACAAAACTATTTTTGTGGGTTTATGTAGAAAGATACAGTAAAATGTTAAAATTTTTTTCTACCTATGTTTCTTAGTTTCTTCACATTCTTTTCTTAACTTCCCATTTCTAATTAGCCTTGTATTTTTGCTATATACTTCTGTTGGTTTGAAAAATGCTCACTGAAATTCTTTTATCTTCACTACTTTTTGTAATTCAAAGTTCATCTTCTTTTATAGGTGACTTGCTTGTGGGGAGTCTTTCTTCCACTTGAGAACTCCACATACCCATAAGTGAGCTCAGCTAGCTAGTCTTTGAGAAATTTTACATGGGTGAGACTACCAAGTAAAGAAACTGATTCCACAAGCCACTTAGAAAAATCTTTCTCCTTTTATAGATGCTCCCATTTCCACATATAGGGGCAAACCTGAAATCAAATTGAGTCCATTTTTTTTTCGCCTTTGATAATAATTGACAGGCATCTTACCTCTTCTAGTTGCAAGACACCAATTTTTTTTTTCCTGATAAATTGGTAAATAACCTTTTAATTACCTCTGTTTCTGTGCACTGCCCCATATCTCTTCAAGAAATGACTGGTTTACCAACCACCCCTCCTTTCCATGCACAAGTATATCTATGAATGAAAAATACATCACACCTTTCTTAGTTTGTGAATATGTAATTATACTTCTCAGAACTTTAATGAGATTTTATGGACTGAAGCAGAGAGATCTGTTGACAGATCTCTGAAATTCTGAAATGTATTCTTTAGGGTATGATCTCAGAGATGCATTTGTTTGTCCTTACTGTGTTAAAAGTTGATCATCTGAAGAATCATTCACAGACTCCATGTTTGAACTACAGATACTATCATACATTCTTAGCAGTTTGCAGCAGTTAATCTTGTGCAAGGGTTTTGATATGTGTGTAGTCCTGTTTTAAACATGAGACTTCCCTCCCTCTCCCCAGTCTTTTAAAATTTGTGTTGCTTATCAAATGTGCAATTCTAATTTTTATTACAAACTTTCATTGGTTTTTAATTTAACATGCTAGTTTCCAAGATGTAATCTTACACATTTGACGTTTTATCACAGGACCAACACACCTGGTGAAGGATTGAATCCATTAAGTAGAAATAGTAATTTATTTTTTTTTTTAACCAAAAGCCTTTGTAAAAGACAGGGTATTTTAATGTTTTAAGGTTGAAATCATAGAGTTTTCCAGGCATAAATTAAATTATAAGATGACTGTTTTTAGGGATACTACAGTTTTACTAAAAAATCTCAATTTTAGTACGTTGGTTTTGGATTGCCTTATTAAATTCTACTCAGTTTTATTTGCAGTCATTCAAAGTAAAATAAATTGGAATGAGAGGTCCTGGGTAATTAAGACAAACTTTGTGACTAGTTGACAAATCCTTTAGATCCCAAGGAAATATTTGTAAATTTAAGAAATTTAGGATTTTAGTAAATGTAATAATGTAATCTTTTTTTTCTTTTTTTTTTTCCTTTTTCTTTTTCTTTCTTTCTTTTTTTTTGAGAAAAGGAGGGAAAACAAAAATTAGTGTGGGTTTTAGGCCGAAAACTCTTATTTTGTGATTTTTGGTTCCATTACCTAATATGAGACTCCATAAGTTCAATTTCAAGGTCATTTATATTGCAGGACCAGGCCTTATATTAATGTATCTTAAATGTTATACCTTTGAAAGGGCTGATGATTGTATTGCAAAAGTTCTCAAATTTCATTACTTGCTGACTATGTTATTAATTACCATGATATCTTTTTTAGACATTTTCGTTAAAAAGGCTCATGATTAGTTGTTGAGACTCTTCAAATTGATTTTATGTAAACTGGTGGATATACAATGGCTGAAAATATACTTTATAAAGAATTGTGTATCACTTTTACAGTGAATGGTACAGAATTTGTATTAAACTACTACCTATACATTGAACAGACTCCTCTAAATGGGGGAAAGTGTAAAATATTACTGGCCCTAAAAGGAACACAGTAGGAGATTGCTTTCCATAGATCATAGACCAGTGTGATCTCTATAGGCCATATTCCAGGAACTCCCATGAATGGCTGCAATTGTGAACTGTCAACTGCAGCTCAAGACTGTTAAAAACCTAATTGTAAGGATCCCTTAGTGGTGTGTGTGTGTGTGTGTGTATCTGTGTATCTGGTTAATGGTTTTTATTTTTGTAGTTTGCTAATGACTACTGATTGACAGAGTATAAATTGTGAATACTAAATGGTGTGCCCTGGTATGTGCTATAAATACAAATTTTGTTCATTTATATAAATGTGAATATGTACTTTTAATGGAATTTTTTTTCTTTCTTTTTTTTTTGAAGTTGAGAGGATTATATAGATGTATACCAAGAGGCAGAACTTTCTTTACTGTAAAACTTAAAACTTATAGGTACTTTTCAGAGTTGTATTACATGAAAATCTCACTGCACTCAAATCAAAAACATGGAAACTCCTTACTTGAATCTGTGTTTGTTGGGAGCTTTCATTTCTCTCTGTTTTTGCAGACTGGGTCTTATCCCAGGGCCTTGCACATGCTAGGCAAGCACTCCACTGCTGAGCACGTGTATGTTCCCAGCACTTCTGATTGTTTATTTTGAGTCAGTCTCTCTAAACTGTCCAGGCTGGCCTTAAACTTTAGATTCTCCCGCTTCAGCCTCCAGGTTAGTTGGGATTATAGGCTTGTGCCCACCACACTGGGCTTTACATTTCTTTATATATTGAATTTTAGAGGTAATTTTTCTCATCCAACTTTTCAGTTGATGTGTAAATCACATATTAGATGCCATCTTATGTCTACATAAGCCTTTGAGAGGGCACTTTTACCAAAGAGTAACCCAAGTATAAAATTCTGTGCATATGTGATTATATGCATATGTGTCATTGTTTAGTATAAAATGATATTTATTGGTGTATTCATCAGAAGTGCCTAATTACTAATATATATTTTAGTCATAAACATGGCTTGACGTAAAGAAAATTATAGATTTCCAGAAAGGCTGGATGATATTCTAGAGTACCTGAAATTTCTATATCAGTAGGAGTGTGACCTTTATAGTCAATGACACATATTGTTTAAAAATTTTTGTGCATTAATTAATATAGGCCAATTATTGGTTAATGTTTTTAGAAAACATAAGGGCATATCAGTGTGGGAATAAGTCATTTTATATAGGACTGGTAGTAGGGGTATGTATGTACTCCCTGATATTTATTCTTCTAGATTCTGATAGCACAAACTTGGAAATAGCATGATACTGGATTAATGGGTCTGGTACTTGGTAATTTCGAATGGAGTTTTTCTGTCTCTGCACAGAAGAAGAGAAGAGTGGAAGCAGTCATGCTCTCAGATCTTCTAGTACAGCCCCACCAAATGATAAATCAAAATAATTTCTTTCCTAACAGGAATGGTTGTTAGGAGAGTATAAAATAATTTTAACTTTCCTAAAATGATAAGGAGTTGGAGGCCAGGAAATATAAGTGATAACAGATAACCAAGATGGAAGAAAATATGGCAGAATAACATGTGACATGATCTTAGAAGGAATAGTTGTTAATAGTAAAGAATAGCGATTTAATTTTTTTCTGATTAAATGTTGCCTGAGTTCCCCAAGTAATTCCTTATGAATGGGGAAAGCAAATTTTCCAGTAAGAAATCTTAGGAAATGACAGTATTTATAGGGGATGTGCAGCAAAATTCCTAAATTGGAGTAAATCCTTTCAGTTTGTAGTTTTTCCTTATATTCAACCAGTGGGTTGTGATTTGAGGCTACTATTTTTGATGGCATAATGCTAATTACTGCATCCACAAATGTGCATACCTGAATCATTGATTTGATGTCTTTCCCACAGCAATTCTTAAAATAGTCTCAATATTTGCTATATTCTTTATCTGGCATTGTTCAGGGCCGAAACTTGGTTTGTCACGTAAAGATTTCAGAACAGAATCCAGTTTGCATCATTCCATGACACTAATAA